CCTCTCTAGAAAACATGACAGGGTTGATGTTTATTTCACTGCCTTTACCTACTGCATGATACCTGTCACCACCCACACAATTTGTTGATTATTTTCAATATTGGCCTGTCAGAGGATGCTACCAAGACCTCTACTACTGTTGATACTATCACAGCAATACAAAATTATAAAACATTATTTGCATGGCAGTGTTACTTTAGCCTCATTTATATTCTTCTACCGCTACCACTTGAAAAGAACAGCAAGAAAAAAAAAAAGGATTCAGAAATGTCCCTCATGTGTCTAATCTCTTGGCAGGAAGTCTACTGACTTGCAGCTCACAAACAGTTCTATTACAATCCTCAGAAACAGTTAAATCGAAAGATTATTAATACGAATGTCAACAAATCAGAGGACAGAGATCAAACCAAATGGTGCCAGTTCACAGGGACAAGTTAGTTAAAAAAGGAAATCATTGTGATGACATTTCTATTCACGCAAGTACTTTAGACAGTAAATTTAATCTTCGAATACCCGTTTCATGTTCTTTTTATTATTGAGCTACATTACTAAATTAGACCTTGGTCTTATCCACACAAACTCGACTGTGCCTTCTCATTATTCCCAAGAAGTCAAAAAATGACTCAAAAACCCAAAATGTTCATGTGTTTATGAAGAAAGTTATTAATGTAAGTCACTGATTACTGGCAATTTTGGTAAGGTAGTATCTTAAGAACATGAGCTTTCCATCAAATATTAACTTTTTAGTAAGTGAAGCAAATTCTTAAAATTAAAATCCCCTGACCAAAAAAGAAAATACTATCTACACAAATGACTTATGTTATTTGAGGAAAACAATTTTGTGTTACAGAACCAAACATGCTGACAACTGTGCTTCCTGAACCAGTGTTCCTACAGAAATGATGACAAAAATGACCATATGTCCCCAGTTTGTCCAGAAGAGTAGCAATCTACACCTGTTGTCCCACAGTAATTATTAATACGGCCCTCTTTCACTCTCAAAAGCATTCCAGCATGGATAAATTAATATGGTCACCTTAGATGTAATTGACACTAATAGGAACTTTGGTCAATAAAAAAATGAAAATTATAATTAAGAGTTAACTTCTTTTTCCCTACAGTTAAGTGGAGAGTAAGAGGAAAGAGACCATTTTTCATTCTAAAGAAAGTTTAAAACATTGAATACAAAAATCTCCTCCCCACTGCAAAGTATCTTGTTCATCACCATGCAAACCTCTATAAGAGCACCTCAATCTGTAGTCATGAAATTACTGCACAAGGTCTACAAATATACACACACACCACAAACTGTCTATAAATATTTGTCTTACATGTATGTAGGTACTATTAGGACTGATGAAATTAAAGTCCTGGGTCAGAAAATCTACAACAAAAAGATCAACTATGTATTTCAAAAACAAAATCACAAGTTCACAAGCATATGCCTGAACTATTCAAAACTGCCAAGATTTTCATATTTTAAAAAATTTCAATTGATGACTGGAAAAATGAACTGTTTGATTATCTGGGAAATTTCCATATTCAAGGGTGGCAAAAAACAACGAAGGAAAAAACAGACACAGAATACTTTCTTAAGCTGGTTATCAAAACTTCAATGGATTATGTAAATTGGTATTTTTTTAAATTGATGGGCCATAAGGTTTTGGAAATCTCTGTGTTATACAGAGATGATAAGGAAGTAGACTTACAAAGAAAACAAAACATATCCTAGGCAGTGGCCCAAAATTCTAGCACCTTGCTGGTCTGGAAATGAGAAAGGACTTTTCACTTTCTAATTTGTTACCCACTCTATGGTAAATCAAGACAGAAGAGGCTGGTGAGTGATTTGCTCTATTTTGCAATCTACTAGGGCTATGCAGAAATATACACATTTTAATTCCATAGATACAGATGTCCCATTTGACCTACTGTATTATCTAAGTCCCTACAACATGTTCACTAACCTCAACGAATATATCCAACCAGCCTAACATTTCTAGATATCACTTCATTAAGCTATTTCTTAAAACCATATGTGCTTTTAAATTGTGTCAAATAATATCACAAGCAGTAATAGCTGAAACAGAAGCCATGACATAAAAAAGGGAAGAGTGTAATTGCTAAAAAAAAGTCTCTCCTGCATCATAAACCAGATTCTCTTTAAGTGGGAATAAAAGTTTTTGATACGACATAACCTGTAGATTTTTTTACTGCAACCTTTATTTTCTTTCCATCTCCAATCTAATTAGAGAGCAATTAAGTCTAGAGGCATAAAAGTTTAGTGACTTCAGCATCAGAGACATCTGGGTTAAAATGGGGGCTCTACCACTTATTAGCTATTTAATTGAGGACAAATTGCTTAACCTCTTTTGAGTCTCAGTTAACTCTGTAAAATAGTTAATATCCTCATGGGGCTTTGCTGTGAGGATTACAAAGTCATGCAAGTGAAGCACAGGACACAGAACATAAGCATTCAATACAAGTTAGCTTTGAATTTAGGCTAACTAACTCCATCCCAGTTTGCTTGGGGCAGTCTAGGTTTGCACCTGTTGTCCAGGCATAACTATTAATAATGTCCCTTTTGCTCTTAAAAGCATCCTGGCTAAGGCAATAAATCATGTGGTTACCATAACAATGATGACGATGAAAAGAGTGAATATCAGAGTATTTTTTATCAATTATGACTTTCTGGATCTTGAAAGAAAAAAATGAACACCAAACAAAATAATGTAAGATTATATTCCTGCAAGATGTTCTACTGATATTCATTTAGTTATTCAATGAACATTTAAATGCTATTTATTTAGACCTATCCCACCCCAACAATGACTTAAGGCAGCAAATTTCCATTTTGTTCTTTCTGTTCTATACACTTACTGGTAAACTTCATATATTATTTTAGAAAGGGAAAATTCACAGATAAAACACTAGTGGAGTTCCAGCTATTCAGACACACTATCCTTTGAATCCCAATAAAAAATACCCACTCTTATTATGAAGAATGCCCAACACCAACAAACATGTATCAAATAAGCCCATCCAATTACAGGGCCTGCAAAACAGAATATTTTTAAACATGCATTCTACACAAAAATCATCAGGAGACGCAACAAAAAATAAATTACCTGACTGTTATGACATAGTATTGTAATACAATAAACTGGATTTTAGTTTTCTTCACTCTCTGCTCTAGAAAAAAAAAGAATCCATTATTCTTCCTCTTTCATAAGATACACATTTTCTATGAAATAGACACATCCTAAAAAAACATCCTATATATTTTAAGTTACACACCCCATAACCCAACCTAATTTAATATTACTATTAGGATATTTGGGGAGATGGAGGTCAGAGGAAACCAGCAATCTTGTGTAAGATGTAAGATTTCCTTTAAAGGCTGAAAGCCAATCTACCTTTTAATATAAGCTTGCTTAAAGTAGGCCTTTCCTTATCAGACCAGTAATATTTTCAGATTCTGACAGTTACTTTCAAGGACTTATCTGGCACATTACAGTAGCCTATGGCAGGAGCTAAAGTATGAGAAGATCACTAGGACATTAGGGCTAAAGAATGAAATATTTTTCAGTTTAACAGTCTCCTAAAACCATAGTTTAAAAATTATTTGGATTGGTTTTCCTGGGTACTTTATTTTTATAATCTAGAAAGCTGATTTTGGGGGGGCAATAATTGTGCCTCCCTGGTCTCAAGTTATCCAGGATGGACATAATGTACCTAATAGGACGATATGAGTAATTGTGTCTTTAATTTCGAAGAATCAAATAAGTGATTCTAGTAGTAGAAACGACTAGTAGTACATTTATTTCTTCCTCCCTTCAATCATCTAAAGCGACTGCAGTTAATTCTGATTCAGGAAATGCGGGCTCTTTATTTGCACCAAAAAATTATTGTGGGACCTTGCAAATGGTGGATGACAACCTGATATAAATGCTTCCTCTTGCCCCCAAACGAAAATAATGACCTAAATAACAGGACCGCTAGGCCTCAGATTCCCGGACTAACCTGTGGAATAAGTATGGGGAAACTGTCTAAGGAAGGAACGTGGCTGTCTCCTCCATCTTGAAATTAATCAGCATAAGGCAAAAAGGGACTGAGTATTCAGGAAGCAGAAGCCCAACCGGTTAATACTAGTTACTAAAGCTATGGCGTACGTGGCAGGTACCGCCCGCAGAAGCCGAGACCCTTAGGCTTTTCTTTTGGGGGGGGGGGGGGTTGGGTTGTTGCCGGATTAAACGGAAATTAAGTTGAAAATCATTTGGCCCAATTCCCACCCTTACCCAGGGAAAAACAACAAACACGCAATGGCTTTCCCCTGTCTTTTCGGGGGGTCCTTGCAGTGATATCTGGCAAAGGATACGCCAGGGTTACTCGAGTAAGGGAGTAAACCACAGTTGCCCCAGATCCTCAGGGAAGATGTCATCGTAGCCCCAGGGGGCGCCTAATTTATAGTGCCCAGCAGAAGGGCTCAAAATGGGGTTTTGCAAATCCTGGGAAATCTAAAGGTCCAAGAGTTCCCAGCATCTGACTTAGAGCAACCTGATTTTTTCCCCTTTTCCCAAACCCAAGCCCGCCATATAAAAGGGGGATGGGGAAGAGAGGGAAGCCTCCAGAGAACCCAAGAGAAAAACCTGAGACGATCAAAGATTCTCACGCCTGAGGCCAACACTCAAAAATCGCCTCCCCCAAATTCTTAAGGCTGTGGAGCGCCCCGGCTTTAGCTCGCACCGCCACGGAGAGGAAGTACTACCCACCTCCTTCCCCTTCTTCAAGAGACTGTGACTATACACCCAACTAAAATGGCAGCGGCGACTACGCCACGGAGCCCCCCGCAGCAATCAGCGCCTGGGGTCCGGAGGCGGTACTGAGCGTCCGCCACGACACGACACTCAGGCCATTTTGAGAGAACGCGGCAGCCGCGGCGCCGCTGTCTTCCCCTCGCTCTCCATCCATTTCTCAAGAGGATTTCCCAAGGCTTCACTTACTCGGTTTTGGGTGTCGGGTCCGACTCTGTCGGTTCGGCCGCCGCCGCCGCCGCCGCCGCCGAGGCTCCTGCGCGCCTCCCCTGCCGCTGCTCTCAAGCCCGCCTCCGATGAGTCGCTGGTGGAGACCCGCCTCTAGCCCAACGCCTGCTCGGAGACGTTGCTCAGGCAGCCATTATCTTCCCCATTGTTACCAAGCAGCGACAGGAAACGACTGCCCACAACAGGAAGTGATGATGCGGCGTTCCGGCCCCGCAGCCCCACTCCCAGCCTATTAGCCAATCCCAGGCGATTCCTCGAAAAGGCTCGGCGGGAGGAAGAAGGGGGCAGCAGACGACGCGGCAAGGCGGGCCGCGGTCTGGAAAAGGAGCGCGGCTGTGACGCCCACCATGTGACAGGCCCCACCCTCCTCCGCCATTTTGAACTGTGGCGAGAAATTCGCGTCCTGGGCACTGTGGGAACCTGAGTTTTCCCGGTTCTGGAAACTGAAGACTGTCACCGCCTGACTGCTTGAAGCCTTTTTCAGAGAGCGCGAAATGCGGTATTAGTCCAACCTGACGTCTGTTCACACGCTTAATTCAGACTAGTTCGTACAGCATCTTACCTTTTATTCAACATACATTTATTGAGTGCCAACTGTATGTCAAGTATTGAAGATGTTGGGAATGCTGCGGAAATTAAAACAGACGAAAATCCCAGTTCTCATGGTTCTTTATATTCTATTTTCTCATGGTTCTTCATACTCGGGAGAGGGGACAGTAATTACTACATATATGCATATATCTGGTGATAAATACTAGGGAGAAAAAGCAGAGGAAAGAGGGTGGGGTGGGAGAGTGCCTGGTGGGGGCAAACGGGAATTACGATTTTGAAGAGTGGTCAGAGATGGCCTCTCTGAGATGGTAATTTTCTGAAACACTTGAAAAGGGTCGATGATTGTAAAAGGGTGGGAAAATCTGATAACATTGGAAATTGTAAAAGGACAGTTACAGAAGGCCTTTCTTAGATGGTAATGCCTGAAGGAAGTTAGGAAACCAGCCACACAGCGTCCAACACCGGTTTTCGCAGTCGATTTAGAAAAACAACCTTACCCAAGTTTTTAGAGTGTTTTCCGTGTTTCTTTTCCCATTTTTTTCTGTTTTCTCTGTTTCCAGGTAGCCCTCCAGTTACATGCTTTCTTACTTTTCTTCCAACAAACCAAACTTTTTCCCACTTCTACAACTTTATATAGGCTAGAGTATTTCCCCTTCATATCTTTGTTCTCAACAACTAAACCTCTTCTTAATTGTCATTTCCCCAGAGGAGTCTCCCTAACCACACTATCCTAAATAACAACTTCTCCAGCCCCTTATCTGCTTAATTTTCTTTAAAGTACTTAGTCTGAAAGTATATTATTTATTTGTTTACCCTACCCCTTAAGAGCAGCAAACCTCATTGTTTTGTTTATTGTTATAACACCAGCGAACTCATAGTAGATTATCAAATATTTTTTAACAGTTAACATTTTATTGAATAATTACATGTCAGACACAAATCTAAGTATCTTCAAAAGTGTTATAAGCTAAGTATATTAGAATATTATACCCATTTTTTTATATTTTATTTTATTTTTTCAGTCTTACAAGATTCATTGTTTATGCACCACACCCAGTGCTCCATGCAGTAGTTGCCCTCCTTAATACCCACCACCGGACTATCACTATCAAATATTTTTTGAGAGAATGCACCCTCTCAGCATGATGGCCATTTCATCAGCCTGAATATAAGTATTTCACTCCAAGCAGTTACAATAATATTTTCACACTTCCTGCTCATCTTCCCATCAGACTTGATATTGTCTTTTTTTAACAGTATGTACACATAATTTAGGTGCTATCAGCTTTTGTCTTATATGATGTAGTCGTGTACCAGAACTTTTACTGAGAATGCGTAAAATGAATTCTTCAGTGGCCTGCAGGTGTTATGAAGCCCGATAGTGAGCATTGGTAATAACATTAGCCACTCCTTTACATGTTCTTGAGGCAAACATGGCTTAATGTGAAAGTTACAATTATAAAGGAAGCAAGAGAAAATGTAAGTGAATATGTCTACATCCTTGGGGATGTGGAATGACTTTCTAAACATGACACAAAATTTTTAAAAGGAATTACTGTTAAATAAGACTTAATAAATAAAAGCTTCTGAATGTCAAAACACAAGGTTAGTGAAGTTAAAAGAGAAATGAAAAACTGAAAAAAATAATTTCAATATGACATATAAGAGCTAAGGGGTAATACTAGTCTATAATAAAATTAAAAGACAAATGACAAATTGGTAAAAATATTAAATATATGATAAACATACATGACAAATATCACAAGTCAATAAAGAGCTATTAAAATTGATTTTTTAAAAAGATAAACCCCCCTTATGCTAAGGACATAAATAAGCAATTCAAAAAAGGAGAAAACATTTGCCTGATAAGCGTATGATAATAGGTTCAACCTCACTAGTAACTAGAAGTGAAAATAAAAACTAATTTTTTCCCTTTTAGAATGCCAAATATTAAAAATTTGATAATATTAGGTGTTGATGAAGCTCGTATGAAATAGGCACACCTGAATGTTACTGGTACAAATTGATATAACATGTTTTGGGCAACTTGGCAATGTATATCAAATACCTCAATGTCCTGTTTGACCACCAAGTCCATGTACAGAAATTTAAGGAAAAGAAGTGAACACATTTGCAAAGACGCATGTAACAAGTATACAAAGATTTTGATCACAGTGAGGCTTATAATATTGAAATACTGAAAAATCAGGAAACTATTCAACAATAATTAGTGAAATATTTTACAGTACATCTACTTAATGGATTCCTACATCACCATTGAAAATTAGGAGCTAGATCTGGAAATATGTTCAAGTTACGTTTTTAATGGAAAAAAAGCAATTTACAAAATAGCATGTGTGATTCTATTTATATATTAAAAATACATGTAAATATGCATGGAAAAATTCTAGATGTGTACACATGCAAATAAAATATGAAGGGATGATTATTAGTAACCTTTCTTCTTTCCTCCGTTTGTATTGTCTTGAATATTTTGCAATGTGCATGTATTACTTGATATTGGGAGAAGGGGCCATTTTTATTTTGAAAGAAAATTCTGTCTGAATCTGAAAAAGAAAAAAAAAACAGTATCTTCACATCCACCTGTTTTTTTCTCTTCATCATTTAATTATACCCTTTCTCTCTTTCTTTTTTCTGTCTTTTCTTTTTCTCTTCCTCTCTTCCATGTATTCTTCCAGGCTGTTTTATAAGCAAGGAACTGCTTACTTCCAATATTTTGGAAGTGACTTCTCAAAACAATTTATCCTGTGATGACATTCAGTGCCACCCTAGACCCCAAGGAAACAACCACTGACTAATTTTCATTCAGCTTCTGTTCAGTCTCATTTCTCTCTCATGCACTTCTTACACATGTGTGATGTTCAAATGATTTTTACCCCTTCCTGGTGAGATGTCCTTTAGGAGAAAAAAAATAAAAGATTTTCCCAGTCTTTCTTGGGTTCATTTATTCAACAAAATGGATAGATCATCTGCTATATGCTGGTCACCTGGAGTAGATTAGTAGACCAAAGACAGGAAGACCCTACCCTTGTGGCGAGACAGACATTGAACAAATACTTATAAATGTAATGAACAAAACGAAGGAGACATGGGTACAATGGGAGGAGTATATAAAAGGAACATTTAACCTAGAGATGATGCCACTTTTAGCTGAGACCAGAGCTGAAGTAAGAATGCCAATTAGAGAGGGGGGAAAAATTAAGGAGGGACCCTGGAAGAGGGAATGATCTGTACAGATGTCCTGGGGTGAGAAAATGGGGAGCTGGAAGACTATCTCATTTTCTTTAGCAAATCACTCTGTGTAGTTTTCTTCTTAGCATTCACCACACTGAAATTTATTTATCTTGTCTATTTGTTTATATTGTTTACTGTTTGTATGTCTAGGTTTCTAGCCTGTCAGTCTTCCCACTGCTCTGTCCCCAGTGTTAAATTCCATGGGTATTTAACATTATTTAACAATATTTAAATATTTTTTATTAATATATTAATAAATATATATAAATATTTAAATATTTAACAATATTCCAAAATATTGTCCCACTACTTCACCACTGTATTTTCTGAGCCTAAAATATATAATAGGCAATCAATATTTCTTGGATCAATCAAAGCATTAGCTTGTAGTTCATATTAGACATTTTGAATCTTAAGGACAATGGGAAGTTGTTGAAGGGTTTTTAAAACATCATTTAAAAATTATCCGATAAAGGTATTTTTTTAAAAAGATCTTCATGACTACCATATTCTTAAATTGCATTTTCTTTATAGTAGTTATACTTACTATTTTTTTTAAGTAGGCTTCACACCCAGCATGGGTCTTGATGAGGGCTGGAACTCACAACCATGAGATCAAGACGTAAGCCAAGATTGAGAGTTGGACACTCAGTGGACGGTGCCACCCAGGAACACTGAGTATACTTAACTACTTTAAGATTCAAAAATCCTTTATCTTTAGGAAGATCAACTGGTTTTGTTTTTTAAAAAATGACACCCATGAAATATCTATTTATTTAGTTTAGATATTGTCTGTAGGGTCTCAGGAGCTTTTTAAAAAATATTTTGAATAAGAAAACAATCAAGTCAAAAAATGCCCAGAAGACATGAACAGACACTTCTCAAAAGAAGACATACAAATGGCTAACAAACAAGTCAAAAAATGCCCAGAAGACATGAACAGACACTTTTCAAAAGAAGACATACAAATGGCTAACAGACACATGAAAAAATGTGCATCATCATTAGCCATCAGGGAAATTCAAACCAAAACCACATTGAGATACCATCTTACACAAGTTAGAATGGCAAAAATTGACAAGGCAAGAAACAACAAATATTGGAGAAGTTGTAAAGAAAAGGGAACCCTCTTATACTGTTGCTGGGAATGCAAGTTGGTGCAGCCACTTCGGAAAACAGTGTGGAAATTCCTCAAAAAATTTAAAAATTGAGCTACCCTAAGACCCAGCAATTGCACTACTGGGTATTTACCCCAAAGATACAGATGTAGTGAAAAGAAGGGCCATCTGTACTCCAATGTTCATAGCAGCAATGTCCACAATAGCCAAA